ACCTGAGTGGTGAAGTGTGAGTCAGCTTGGCCAAGGACGAAGAGGAGGGCATTACAGGCCAAGGGCTTGGCCAGGGCGAAGGCAGGGAGGCGCAAAACGACGTGATGCTTGTGGGGACCCCGAGGGAGCCGTGGAGTGACAGGGACATAGTGGAGTATGAAGGCAGGAGCTAAGGCCAGAATGGAAGACTTTAGGGACTAAATCTCAAAACCAGAGCTTGACCCTAAAGGCCACCAAAAGATTTAAGCATAATCAGACTGGCAGGGGGAGGGAGAGACTGGGGAAGAAGGGTCCAGAGGCAGAAACATCATTTAGGAGACCTGGACTAGGGCCGGCCCGTGGTTCACTTGGGAGAGTGCGGTGCTGATGACACCAAGGCCCCAGGTTTGGATCTCATATAGGGATGGCCGGTTAGCTCACTGGGTGAGCATGGTGCTGACAACACCAAGTCAGGGGTTAAGATCCCCTTACCGGTCATCTTAAAAAAAAAAAAAAGAGACGTGGACTATTCGAGGTGCAAGCAAGAAATCAGGCTTCTATCAAGGCCACGGCTGGGACACAGAGGGGAGCAGCCACATTCCAGAAACATTAGGGAAATAAAGTGGGCGGAACTTGGTGGTTGGATGGGGAGAGCTCAAGAAAAGGGTGTCAGAGGCGACCCTCCGCTGGCCTCTTTCTGGGGCGGTGGGTGACGGCAGTATCATGTAGAGAGATGAGGGACACAGGAAGGGAGGGGTCTTCTTGCTGGGAGGTGGATGATGAGATAAGCTTCCAGCAGGTCGAGATCCAGGTGCTACATACCTGGGAGGTAATCCAGGTGACAGGCCCATTAAAAAGTTTGAACTCGGGGTCTGGAACTCAGGACAGGGATGTGCTCCTTGGCTGTTCCCACCCAGCAGGGCAGCCTGTGTCCTCCTGGAGGTTCCCCAGACCCCGGGGTTCCTGCAGCCAGGATTTCAGGAAGGGTGAATCTGCTGTTCTCAGTGCTTGCTCTGTCCCCACCCCCAGGTGTCCAACTTGCAGCCTGGAAAGAGTTACGTGTTCCAGGTACAGGCCATGAATTCAGCTGGTCTGGGACAGCCGTCCATGCCTACTGACCCAGTGCTCCTGGAGGACAAGCCAGGTAGGAATGGCCAGTGGGAGCCAGAGGGAGCCGGTGGGAGCTGGGGTGCCACTGCTCAGTACTCAGAGGGGGTTGGGGGAAGCACGAGGGTCCACAGCAGAAGGACAGGATCTGCCAGCCCTTGTCGCCTCTCCTCACTTCCTCCAGCTCTACCCTTCCCTTCTTGCCTGTTTCTCTCGCCTTCCCCACCCCCATTCATTTCTGTGGGACCCCAAGATAGATGCATATCTTTTCCACATGATTTGGTGGGATCTTCCTTTCATATCCCATATTCATAAATGCATACAACTCTATAGATATTCAAAACGACCCCCAGCTCCATCTTAGATACCACACCTGGCCTTGCCTGTGTTGCAGTCACAACTCCTGAGGTCCCTCCTGCTACGTGCCAGATGCTCTGCTAGGTTCTCCCACTTCCCCAGCCCTCCAACAAGCCCCTGAGGAAGGGGTCACTGTCCCCACATTGGATGATTTTATTATAGCTCAGAGACATTAAATGATGAGGTCACGCAGCTAGTATATGACAGAATCACTCAGCTCTCCTAACTATAAAGCACGTTCTCTTTCCGTTCTTTTAACTATTCGTTCATTCATCAAATATTTGGCGATGCTCACATTGCACTGGAGATACAGGAGTTAATGAGAAAGGAGGGTCCCTGCTCCAGCGTAGGGGAGGTGGGGGGAGCAGATGGACAGTGAACAAGTAAACATCTAGGTGAAGAAGGAGACTTAAGATATCGACAAGTGCTATAAGGGAAATAAAACAGGCTGATCGTGGGGTGTGGTTACCTCAGCCAGGGCAGTCAGGGAGGGCCTCTCTGAGGAGGTGACATTTGAGTGAGAAGGAGCCAGATCATGCAAGGCCTTGGAGGCCACCGCGAGGAGTCTGGGTTTATTATTTTATTCAAGTGCAGGGGGCAATTCCTGGAGGGTTTAAGCAGGGGAGGGGCTGACCTGGCTTATTATTTATAAAAGTCCGGTGCCCTCCTTTGGATCTTTCCCTCAGATGCCCGGGAGATCGAGGTTGGTGTGGATGAAGAGGGCTTTATCTACTTGGCTTTTGAGGCCCCTGAGGCCCCCGACTCCTCAGAGTTTCAGTGGTCCAAAGACTACAAGGGTCCGCCAGACCCCCAGAGGGTCCAGATCGAGGATGGACTTAACAAGTAAGTGAGGGGAGAGGAGGAGGCCCGACTACTCAACAGGACCCCAAAGACGGGTTGGCAAAAGCTCAAGGGTGAGACCCCGCGGTGGGTTGGAAGGAGCTGCCTGGTCGCTCCCTGAGCATGAGACCGCCACCTTAGGGAGAGGTGAGGGGGAGTGCACTGAAGGGGCTGACATGGCCACAGTCTTCTGGAGATTCTTTTTCTGGAAGGAACTGTGTGTGCCTCTGCCTCGGTGCCTCCAGAGAGATGCTCAGGACTCAGTTTGTAGCCTGGGTGCCAGGGGCTTGCTCTTGCAAGTTCTCTGGGCTCAGCTTCCTCATCTGTAAAATGAAGGGTTGGACCAGATGACCACAAAGGCCCCAGTCAGGTGTCCCCATGTCTTACTCCTCCTCCCCCAGCAGCTCGTGGCCTCGGCTCTGTCCAGCAGGAGATAGAGTTGACGCCTCCAGCCCTGGAGGAAAACAGGGCAGTACAGGCAGTGAGCAGAGCTTGTGCCAGACAGCTGGCTAATGGGGGCACTGAAGATGCCAGGCCAGAGGGGACCCACCAGGAGGGGGTGCAAGGAGGCAGCTGCCCCTGCTTCCTGGCTTGGCCAGGGTCTGGGGTGGGTTGCAGGGCCTCCAGAGCCAAAAGATTCTCCAGCTCCCAGGCCTCCATTGCAAAAGGCCAAGGAGCTCCTCTCAGAGCCTCCACTCTCCTCTCTCTGCCAGGTCCAAGGTCATCCTGAAAGATCCCGGCCTTGAGGATCTGGGCACCTACTCAGTGGTAGTCACCGATGCTGATGAGGACATCTCAGCAAGCCACACGCTGACTGAGGAAGGTAACGCTCCTGCTCCACTGCCACCTCCCTGGAGAGACAAACCCAGTCAAGAGTCCCAAACACAAATACCCACAGAGGCCAGAAGCAGCAAGAAAAATGAGTAAAGTGGCAATTTCCACAGAGAAGCAGGTCCTCACCACCCACCTATTCAGTCAATCAATCAATAAATAGCTACTGAGCACCTGCCATGTGCAGGTACTGTCCCAGGCCCTGGGGATTTCATCGGTGAACTCAGCAGACAAAAATCCCTGCCTGGTGGAATTCACCTTCTCTTTGTCTCTCTTTCATTTTCCCACTTTTGATAGAGGCAAAGATACCAGAATTGCTTTGCTTCCTTCTATAGCCTAAGAAAAGGAACAGTGCATGTGTGATGATAAATTGTAAATGGCCTTTGGTCTGAGAAGTGAGGATGAGAATAGGGAGTGGTGGAGACTGACAAACCAGAATGGATGCCATGTCAATAGGGTCATCGCCTTCAGTGAGTTAAACCAGACTGAAACCGATGCTGATGACTGATGAGACTCAAACTCTGCTGTCCCCATAGCAACTGGGACAGCCCCTGCACATTGTCTTCCCTGTTCATTGCACAGGAGGGCCCCCTCTGATTTTTTCATTTCTTTCCTTTTTTTTTTTTTTTTTTTGTGGCTGCCCGGTACAGGGATCGAACCCTGGACCCTGGAGTTATTACCTCCTTTGATTTTGTTAAGAAGCAAAAGCCAGAGAGACCCGGGTTCCAATTTCAGTTTCATAATTTGCTGGCTCTTTGACCAGGGCCAAGTCATATCACC